GACAAAATGAAAACAAAGAAAACTAATCTCTAAGAACAGGTACACTGCTAATTCTGTTTTGACCAAACCATGGCCYTTTTAAAATCCGTATTGCAGTGACAATGATTTCATGTAGATTCTTGGTTTAAAAAAATTGTATGTGCTTTATAAGCTCAAAATCCAAATTSTTCTTTGGTATTTGTGCCACTGAGGCATCTTCTCAAAATGTTCCCCACAGCTACAGCACCTTGTGTTATCATTCTAGATCTTTTCACTTACTGGTCATTTATCTTTATCTTTTGCCCTTCTCTTTCTCCCTCTGCTTGGGCTTCTCTTCAAGCTGAACACGTCTCTTTGCTAAACTAAACTTTTGTTGAAAATRAGCATACAAAGTGCTAATATTTAACTTACAGGCATGCTAAATATATATAGTAAATATCTTTTGGGGTGGTTTACATACAAGGGTACTTCTTATCTGGACAAAACTGGGAATTACCTCTCACAGCAAATAAAAGTGACTTGTCTAAGTATAAAATACATCAGCCCTCGACACTTAGGATTATGGAACACCACTAAGTAGTACCTATCTCCTTGGAAGCATAAAAACAGTCTCTGAGCTATAAATAGGCCTGGCACAGAACTACTAATAATTTCTAAATGCATCTGCTGGTAAAGAAGGGACCATTGGCACCAGGATCAATGCTTCAGCCCTTCACTTGTACTGACTTTAAACTTTGGGAAGTGTCTCAAATTAYCTGTTGTATGTTTTTCTCTCTAAATTGTTGTTTGCTTTAGGCAAAGTTGTAGTGAGTAGCAGATAGAAAAACTGTTAACAAAAGCAAAATTCCCAAACTGTCTGGTCTTTTTTTTTTTTTATTTTGTAAGAAAAAAATTTAAAAATGCTTAATTCTTTAGATATTCCAAGAAGTGAGCTTAAAAGAAAGCAAAGGAGAAAGGGGTAAGGAGGAAGACAAAAAGGGGAAGGAAAGGAAGGTAAACTCTTGGCTCTTTAGAAACAAAAAAGTAACTAAGACTACAAAAGCAAAAAAGCAATCAGTAGGAGTATTACTAGTGATAATTATATCMTTACAGACATTAGACTAAATTCAATGAAAGGGGGATCACATTCAGTGGTGCATCTCACTGTTGTGATACATGCACCAATATTTAAGTGTGATGCGTTCTTAAAAGACAATGCAAATATTTAAATAACTTAAATTTTACAGAAACTTGCAAATGAAATATCAAAATACTGTCACTATAAAAATGTCTTAATCACTTTGGGCTGACCGTATGTAGAAAAGCTACAATTTGTAGAACTGTAAAGAATTATGAACTTTAGGCAGATTTCTCCCTGTATACCCAGCAATTTTCAAATAAACCTGCTCTTAGATACACATATCAAAAGGCTTTATTTCTGAATAACCAAAACAAATTTTCATTAAATCTGCAATAGAAGATTATGTTGCAAATTCTATGTTGCAGTTTTTAATCCAACATGATCTCATTTTGTGACTGCACTTGATTCCCTGGGTGCATTTTCGACTAAAACATTTTTGGGGAGTTAAGTCACTTGCCTCTAGACTTGTCAGTCGCAATTTAGARGTAAATTGAATCAAATATTTTACAGACAGAATTTGAATATGTTTATCCTCTATCACCATCTCAATACAATCTTGTCAGGTTAAGTTTCAAAACAGAGCGCTCAGTTAAACCMGTGTGACTCAGGAGAGACTAAGCCGAAAAAGAAATTACTGAACTTTGTATAGGAATTATGTCAGTTGTTGGGTCAGAACTTCTCTGCAAATATTTCCAACACTTGCAGGTTTCCCTTACATTTACTGCACCTATATATTAGATGCCTAATTTGACAGCCTTATATAAAGCCATCACTAATGCAAGCTCTCAGCTCCTTAATCCAGAACTGGTCAACCATCACAAACACTCAGTTAAATGCCTCAGTAAATATTCGGAACATTTCCTGAGACTCCAAACAAGAGTGTAAGGGTAAGGACTAGAAAGCACTATTCAAGGTCTGGCATCCTTCCCTGGTTACAACTGGCCAAGTAACCAAGCACCAAACCCACCCGCCAGATTTCCCAAAAAACCCGAGAAGTTTAGTGTATTCCTAAAGACTTTACTTCAAAAGGGAGGCAATTTAACAGCCAATCAAAGTATTTCTATATGGTTATGAAGCAATCTACAAAGACGTATGACAGGAATAAGATTTTCTATTGCATTCTGCAGTGCAACCTGCCAATGCTACAAAAAGACAAAATCCTTTCTCATAAAATTCCATACAAGCTCTTCATAAAAGAGATCAAAACCTGTGAGAACAGCATGACCAGAGAGGTAACACTGCAGCAAACCTGCTCCTCCCCTCTAAATCTTTTTCCACTGCCTCCCCACAGCAGAGTACTGGGCACAGCTGTCTGTCTCTACTTTGCATGCTCAAGTTTGAGGCCAGTGACAGAACTGTTGGCGTCATTTCTCTGGGATCTGCCCTTCCGAGAAATAATCCTCACGCACGCTCGGTACTAATGCTGCTTAAACCTCAGATGTTTTAGAAATGCCCTTCACGAAAGTATTCAAGAACACAAAGGCTTTTCTGAACAACAGCCAAAATACATCTTGGTCTSGATACCACAGGATTTGGCCAGGGTGGAAATACTAAGGGAGTAATCTCTTGGATGCTATTTCAACACTTTGGGGAAGAAACCAAGACAAAGTAGAGGTGTAGGGAATATTTCTAGATCTCATTTGTCATCAGAACTATGACACTTGTTGTATATCAATTACTTTCCACTACTCACTGCCTGTTCTTTTAAAAAGAAATTAAAACTGACAGGAATAACTGTAGGAAGGTTACCCAAGTGCTTCTAAGTAGAGAATAACTRAATGGCAGATCATTTCTAGAACAAGATTGTTAAAGGGCAAAGAGTTGGAAAAACCCTATTGCATATTAAATATAAGAGTAATTAACAGAAATGTTTTACTTTGGAAATAAGAAAATTAACAATGGGGAATATATTCAATAAAAGAGAACATGCATTCTTGTCTTTGATGCTCTGAGTAGCAAACATCCAGTGTGCAGCGAAGTATTAACCAGATGTTAATAAACAGAGAAAAGCTGAGAAAATCCAGCCTGAAATATTTCTGAGTTTATATGTTTACAATCTTTTCATGTCTGCTTTTTAGGCCATGACAACAGCTTTGTAGTTGACTGTGATCAACAACAAGGAATGATGTCTTCCAACACTGAAAATCAGTTTTCAAATGTTGATACTACAAACACAGCAGCCACACCCTGCCTCTAGGTCACCAGGATATCACTGGGATTAATAGGCACCACTCCACTAGCAGCAAATGAACTACACAAGATGCAATAAACTGATGCCCTGAGGCCATAGGCATAATGGTGGCTTGCTGCCTTCATATATATCCTTTTTTTTTATTGATTTGAACTGAAGGAAGTATAAAAAAGTGGAGCTAATAGCTATGACAGTATTTACTTTTTAAACAGAGATTTAGAGGTCTTTAAAATATGCATTGCTGACCATATTGGGGGGTTATTATTGCCTCCTATATATAGATCTTTGATTTTCAAGCTCTGTATATGCTGACCTGAGTCTACTGCTTGAAGTACTTTTGGCACTTGTTCCTCAGCAGATCCCTGATATGACAAACCACAATGGCTCCTGAGAAAACAACTCAATTTTTTGAGACATACAGCATCAGGGACTGAAATGAGTCTTTGGAGAGCTCTGCAATGTCCTGTAGCAAATGTGTCTGCCACAGTGGGATTTTCAGTCCACAGAGCTAAAAATGGACCATTGCTGTTGGAACAGCGCAGAACAACCAAGGGATGGTGGGAGAAATTTCTACAYGTTCAAAAGGCCTTTCTGTTTGTTTTAGGAGCTCACCAAAAGTGCTAGAGTATAGATGTTATAAACKAATGATGTCAAAAGTATCAGCAAGAAAAATCAAGTAGTTAGAAAAAAGCAGAAATCCTCTAGAAAGATGTAACTCAGAAATACCAAATAATTTTCTTGTTTTATTTTTTTTAATTTGCCTTGTAAAATTGAAGTAAACATAGCAACACTCATCACCACTCAAAACAAAAAAAAAGACACCCCCAACCAACTTGTATTTTAGAGGAGGACAATTGAGCAACATACTGTCTTCCCTTGAAGTCTCAATCATTAACACAAAGAACAGCTTTTTTGGATAGAAATACTTGCAAGTCCTTCAGCCTTCATAGCTATCACCACGCATAAGAAGGCACTATGATCAGATCTATCTTATTTATTCAAGTATTTTTTTGATAATAAAATTCAAAACCAGTAAACAGACTCTTGAAGAGTCAAAAAATGCCTTTCTTATTTCACCCAAGTTTGGAGTCACTCTGCATAAAAGAACACAGAAAAGAAACTCCAATAACAGACTACTTGCAGAGCAGAGAGCAACCATTAGGCTACTATATTTTGAAACTTTGTACACATGATGCATCTGAGGCTGCTGTAAAATTGCTTTATCTTGAASAGAATGAAGAGCTYAGMTTTTACMYRGACYCTACATCTGGATGCATAAGTTCATCCTTCTCTTTTGGAACAGCTTTCATATTCCCTAAGGATCTTTTACCAACAGGAACTAGATGGAGAAAATCATRTTGATGAGTTGCCACAAAATTGTAAATTGATTTGGTTTGTAAAAGCTACATCTCRGGTGCTGATGGCTCACCAGAAAGAGAATGCTCAGCTCAGGTCTGCCTGTAGAGCACCCACAGTGGGACCAGGCTGTGCACAGCTCCACTTCAAGCTTGGAAATTCTCCTTTCCTGTAACTTTACACTCTGCACATTATCATAAAMCTCCATCTCCCCACTGCTTACATAGCTTTTTCTGTATGAAACTATTGCATTTTGTGTGCAATCTGATTTCTTCACAGCCCGAAAGGTAGACGTCCAGGTCTGTCGCTGACTTCTGCCAAACCCCAGGAAAATAATTRCTACGTGGCACTTACCTCTCCTTCTCTGGGCCATGGCCTTCCATTCTGTGTGTATTTGCTTTGATTCTGGCGCTTCTTTTGCCCTCCATCAGCAAATTTGCACAGCAAAGGCTCAGTGGGGGCTGTGAAGACAAGAAACCCAGTCTATATTAGCATCCCCCCCAAAGAAAGTGATTATACCAGCAACAGTAGTGCTTTGTAATACTGATCTTTTGAAGTAAAATCTTGCCTTCTGCAGATATTTTTTTGCCTCCTTATATTTTTTTGCCTCCTTTAGCTTTGACTCCACTGGCAGCTGTTCTTATTAACTAAGCTTCAAAAAATATATACTGGCAGCCCTTAAAAGAATTTAGCAAATATTGTTGAAAAAATAATCAGCCTACGCAGAATGTTAAGTTGCTGTAGTGGAACAGTATAGTCAGGCATTAGTTCCAGCTAAGTTAGACACGTATTCATGACCAGCATTAGTGCAAGGATAAACACTGCTTTACTAAAGCAGCTTTCTGTTTTTATTGTAAAAACTTTGCAAGAACCTGTTTAAGGAATAAGTGTTCTCACTATTTCGGTGTTTCTCAGCATCCAGCCCTTTAAAAATCTGACCAAACAGAATAAAGTAAGAGACTTTTGCCAAGCCCAGTCCAATTAGTTTTCTTTTTCTCTTAACTCCTCTTTAAAGCAAGTTGGCAGCTGAGAAAAACCCTTTTCCTCTCCAAGTGAGATATGGTGTGTGTGAATACAATGGTCAGGGGGATCTGGAGTCCCAGGAAGAACAGATAATTGCAGCACTGCACACCCCGAAAGGAGGTTCACAATGGGGCCCCCTCGAGAAGAAATTAACGCACATTAAATGGGCACAACAGGAAGGGAACTTGGTGTCTTGGGATCTTTCCCATCTACCCAGCTTTTGACAGTCTCCTGAAATATCTTTTAACCAACACTTTAATTACTCTGCTGGTGGGAGTTTGTCTCTTCTGCTTCATCCTTAAAAGAGGGGTCAAATTCTACCCACTTAGGTGTATGTTAGAGCTGTTCTTTATTGCCTACATTAGCAGAGAAGCAAACCAATGTTAGCTTGGTTGAAAGAAGTCTAAAAGTCATGTGTCACATCTGAGTCTTTTCAGGAATTTTTGGGCTCCCAGGCATGAAAAGTGTGTAATTAATTAAATAGAGTTTTGATGGAAAAAAACCAAGAAATTTGTTTCTTTCCCTCCCCACTTCCTGTTTCTGGAAGGCTAAAAATGCTGAAAGAATACAACTGCAGAGACATGAAGAAAATGTTTGGGTAGGGGGGCGCTAATCAAGTTGTTGACATTTATTTGTAATAAAAATTATGATTTGGTTAAGGGGTAAGTTCATGTGGTATTAAAACAACTCCTCCTCATTATAGCCAGTTCAAAATGGTTCAGAAAGTGTAGAATAAAACTGTGAGCACTTAAAAAACTGCAACCAAGAAACAATGCATGTAGAGAACCTCACATCAAATACACAATTTCTCATTGGGACAGAGTCACTTTGGCTACCTCTGAAGCTGTAATAGCTTTGTTTTTTTCATTACCATTTTACCAGGTTAGTAATTTCCAAGGTCACTAGAAACTGAACTGCAGGGAACAATCCATTATTGGCAGAAAGCTTGACTGTGTGACCCCAGAGGTCCTTCCCCACCTCCAACTTCGATTATTGTATCAGATTTTTGTAGAAGCAATGCTCAGCCAACCATTTTAAATTTAAAATAATGAAGGTTTGAAAGCATCCAGGTGGCTAGAGAGATCTAGCATCCAGAGATTCTTTCTGCAGATGGAGAGATTTTACAGGGCTGATTGCCCTGCACTTTACCTACTTTACTCCATGGCCTGATGCTGCATGATTTCAGAGTGGTTACTTAGAGCTCACTTTGATGTGACTGTGAGGGAGGAGCAGGTGCTAAGCCAGCATTAGAGAAAGACCTATTAAACATTGCATCTGAATCTTCAAAAGCTTTTTGTTTTAAGCACTGAACAACTACCAAGCAACATATGATGCCATTAGGAGGACCATGCAAAAACCATCTGCACATTGGATATTTACACATGCCATCATCATCTTCTGCTAATGAACACATGTGGTATTAGCCCATGTACTGTGATGTGGTTTCACAAGCCAGGAAACCTACACATCCCCTCTCTATATTAGCCAACCACAAATAGGAAGCTGTTACCATTTCCAAAATTCCCCTATCCAGCATTACCATCCGACAACCTCACACTTGTTAATTAGTGGCTTCCTAAAGTTGATTGAGATTGAACAGAGCTACCAGACAACTTCACTAACCTCATCTGGAAAAAATGTGAAAGAAATACTGTATAGACTTTTCAGGAGGTTGGAAAGAAGGTGGTAAAGGACAATGCTCTACACAGGCAAGTTTCTCCATGGGAGGTTATATTCCTCTACAAAATACTGAGAGGAATTCTGTGGAGAAAGTAAGTCTGTGTTGGCCAACATTAAAAGAAGTAAAAAGTTCAAAAGAAAATGTTCTGACAGGAAGATAAAGCCCATATAAGATGGTTTGGGTTGAGGGTTTTCAGGGCTTTGTTTCTTTTTCCCTTAACACAAGCATGTAGCATCAAAAGATGGAAAATTATCTTAGTAACTCTGAAGTGGTGCAGGTCCTAATGGTTTACACCTGGAAACATTTATGGCAACCAACCTCAAAATATATCTATTAAAACCCATCAAATTAAGAACCTCTCTTCTTTCAGGACATAAGATAGAATGTAACAGTCTTGCGAGTTCAAAGAAGTTGCTCTAAGTACACAGAAGAACTCAAATCTTGGTTTACTTCAGCCCTCTTGAAACATCTTGTAAGAAAGGTTCTCCAGGCTTTCCAAGATCAGATGCACCCAAATATTTGGCATTAGTACCATCATTCTTACTAGTCAAATACAGAGCAACAGAAGATACTAGCAAAAGCACATCCCATTCCACCACGCAAGCATAATTATTTCTAAGTAGAATTATTTTTAATGGAGTAATTATATTTCCAAAGTGCTTTAAAAATAATACATTTACTTCAGACAAGAAAAAGATCACAATTAGGTACTACAGTTATCAAGTCAAAAGAAGAAGATATTCAAAAAAGAAGATATTTAGGAACTAGTCAAACAATATCAACACTACATGAATAATATTGATGTATTGCAGTAGAAGTGGTATATTTCACCCCAAATACTTCAGATTGGGAGGAAAGAAAAAAAGAAAATATTTTAAACTTTCTGTTTCTTCTCTTTTCCATTCCATGCAGACAGTCTTCAATTTATGGACTGCTACTTTTCTCCTTTTCCTCCTTTCCACACACTGACTGAAAATAAATGCCTGTGTTTCTGCCTCTTCTCTCACCTTTTGTACTACAGACTTAATAGAAAATGTRATTTGGATATCTGTGGATGTTCACATTTTGAAGTGATAAGCAGATCTTTTTGTATGGTTCTTGACATCCTCTAAGTTTTGAGCATATGTGGTATTTTGAAGCATATCTGGAAAATCTACTGTTGCTATTTTCCTGTCAAAAAATTGAGAATTGATTCGCTTAAAACAAATTCCAGGCTATTTCATCCTGATAAACTCTTCAAGATAAAAAGCAATGCTCTTTCATTGACTTCTACCTGACAGCAACAAACACAAACACCGAGAATAAATAACTGCTTTAACCTGAAAAAGGTTCATTAAGCCATAACCCATTTTTCAAGGGGAAGATTTAAATGCTTGCTGTAGTTCCCATCCTAAGCCTTCTCTAGTTAATAAGACATAAATAGCCCTGAACTTGGCTGTGAGTCCTGAGAAGGAAGTGGGATCAAATTGATAGTGCTTCTAAACAGCATTTGCCAAGATATTCAGGGCTGCCTTAGGATAGGGCAGTAGCTGCTAGTGTTCAAATTCTGTTCCCATGGAAGTCAATGGCTAAAGCCCTATCTCACTTCAGTCAGGCCCGGAATTTACTCTGAGAGTTCAGTGGAGGTGAAAGAGAGAGACTGGCTTTATGTCAATCAAGCCTGTCGATATTGTTGGAGTTCCCTCAGGAGATCAGCTTCTCATGCTCTGCTATTTTAGATGGACAGATTGTGCAGACAAACAGCACAGAACTGCCAAAAGGCTGTTAGTATCACCAAAAGCAACACTGCYGCTTAAATAGCACAAAAACTTCAGAAGGAAGGAAAAGGGGTAACAGTGCCCCCTTCTCGAATCTGGCAGCCTCCAAGAAATGTTCCAGCTCAGGAAGGGAATTTCAATTTAATTGGAAAATTCAACAAAATAAAGCAAACTTCTAACTAATTCTGAATACATAATTTCCGTATTCTTTCATTCGTCGGAAGGCAGATACACTTGAGCTTCTACATGTGCAAAAATGTATATATTCATGAGCATGTGCTTCATAAAGGAAGATGAAAGATGTMATTTGCATTTGGTGAATCTTTTTCATTATTTCAGGTGCTCTGAAACTTTTACCGTCTTAGGAGTTGTTGAGAAAAGCTTGATCACCACTGTCATACAGCATCGTATGTCCAGCAATGGCAAGGATTATATACACAAAAAGCAGTAACAGAACATTTTAATGCCCTTTAGCTGCTTTTACTATGAATATTTTTGAACACAATGTACTTTTCACATATAAGGAAGAGTTTAATCTCTTCTCATCTTTTTCAAAAATGAAAGTAACATTTTCACTAGACAGCCTAGCAACATGTGCATTATGAACGCTCATGCGGGTCTTCAGCCACCTCTGTTTTGTTGATGTGAAGAAAAATAATTAGAAAGACATTGGTCTGACAATGAATGGTCAGTGAAYAATCAATGATCTCTTTCAAAGTATGTTTTAATGAGAAAGTTGGATTAATTTCTTGTTCAGCCTTGGCAAATCCTCCTCCACAATAAAAAACAGTGCACAGTAATAATTGAGTTCACAATTAGACCAGGCATTCATACTGATCAAGCTCTGATAATTATTTTTATTCCTAACTGCCTTCCAAATGTTAAGCATTTTGGTAACATTTTCATGTGCAAATCACAGAGAACATCTGATTGAAACACCCATGTAAGAACCAACCTCTTTGTCTGCTACAGAACAAACATTTGTAGTCTTTAAGAAAAA